TATTTCATCCTCATTTTTTCTTTTAAGTTTTTTGGCTAGCCTTTTGTTTGCCCAAACTGGTTTTACTCTTAGACAGCTGTGATGTTAAACAGTTGCCATTATGTTGTTGTTCCATGACAAGTGCCCCAAGGACAGGGGTTATTCACATAAAGTGAGTTGTGAGTCAGGTCAAATAAAAACTATGAGAATGGAGCTGACCAGTGAGCTTCTGGTTAAGTAGTAGAATTTCTTTGGAACTGATGTGACAGAACCCTGAGTCTTCAGGTCTCTCAAGCCTGGTTGATGGGAGCCTTGCAAGCATGAACAGTTTCCTCTAATCTTTTCTGTTTTTCCTGATCCACCCTTGTGTGGCTTTCTCATACATGTGAATTGATCAATAATAGCTGAGTACTTTGTGCACTCCCTCCATGATCTCCAGAGCTCTTTCTCTAGGCAGTCTCTGCTCTCTTTTACTCTGTCCTGTGATTCCAGCTGCCTGGTCTTCTGGTACTCTCCTTTGTCTTCTCAACTCAGGGGTCTGCTCACCTCTAGCTGAATCCCCCACCACATTCTTCTGTCTGACAACTGTCTCTTTAAGATCACTGTCTTTCTTTGCCTAATGTCCTATGTCTGAAAAATTATTTCATACATTTTTCGAATTTTTTGTTTGTTTCAACTGGAAGGGTAAGACTGGTCGCTTTTACTATATCCTGTAAATTCTGAATCAGTTAGTGGTTCTAAATGCCTGAGTGAATCCTATGACATACTGTATATATATATTACTGCATTTGTGTGCATGTTTGTTTATGTGTATGTGTGTGTGTCTGTGTGAATCAGGGTATTTGCTACAGCAATTTGATCTTATACATCAGTGGGAGCTTTTTAACCAGTCTCTGTAAGGTATTGTCCTCACATCTGATGTTGGAGCTTGAAGTCCATAGACAAGCAGTTGAGAAGTGAGGAAGGATGTGACGTGGGAGAAAAGAAAAACAAGGTGTAACACACATGCATGCGCTGCTCCCCGTGGCCTCTGACAGTGATGGATGGGGTTCTGCAGGATCTGAGTTCCTTCCTAAGTTACTTAAACTTACCCACGTGGTCCAGGAGTTGGAGAAGTGGATGCAGGATTCCAGGATTGTGGAGAGAAGTTGCAGGCTTGCTTGTTGCCGTATAATGATAGGACAGTATGTGTGACAGTTTGTGTGAACTGTTGCTTCATTTCTGCCTTGCTTATTTCCCACTGGATATATTCAGGGAAGCAAATTCTGAGAAATTGAGTTTGGCCTAGCCAAGTTGTCATGTTACTGAGCCCCTGCACTCTACCCTTGCCAATGTTGAATCCATACATATCTTCTTAAACCATATTTAATCTCTAACTAAAGACAGTAAGAATGCTGTGCTTCTGCACATGATAAACGTATCCAGTATACAATCAGCAACATCCTAACCTGTTCCCAAAAGGGATATGCTAGCCAGATTTTGTCTTTGGAGGATATCCATTCTTCTCCTATTTAATTCATGTTCCTTCTTTGCTGTCTATAACTTTATAAATGAGTTATAAAAGTAACATTGTTAACACATCTTAGTTTTGATGATAAGGGTATTAAAAAAAAGGGAAAGAAATTAATTCTGACTTTATTATTATTTTTAAAATTCCTGAGTGTTTCTTATTTCAATTGGTTCACTTAGTTAATTTTATTATAAGTTGTTACAGGAAAGTAATTCAGCCAGAACTCTTATTAATGGACACTTACGCATCTTCCAGTACAGCAGTAATGGATGGTGGTGGTGATCTCCCTGAATTATTGCATGTTTTTGATAAGCCTGCTGAATCATTATATACAGATTAAATTCTTTTCTTTTTTTTTTTCCTTTTTGTCTCTTTTTTACTGACCGGTAACAGGATCGCAACCCTCGGTGTCGCGCCCGTACCGGGGACCAGCAACGGGATCGCAGCCCTCAGTGTTGCGCCCGCACCGCGCTCAGCCAGTGAGCGGGAACCGGTCTCCACATGGAATCCAAACCCTCAGCGGGAGCGCCTCCACGCTCCCAAGCGGCGCACTCTCCAGTGCGCCACCGGGCCGGCCCGTGATTAAATTCTTTTCTACAACATTTTATTAGTAAACGTACTGTATTGTGTTCTAATTTTTTGCATGATTGTATTCCATGAAAGATATCTATCTTAACTATATAGGAACCTTGATACAAGTTACAGAGCACCCCTTTATCTGTACCTGTATCATAATGGTATGTCTATGCTTAATGCATTAAAAAGTAGATTGTATCTTTTTTAACTCTTGCCTATAAATAAGTTAATATATATTGCTTGGGTAAATGTATTGAATGTGTATGACCAGCAGCTTCAATTTGTTTTCACATAAATTGCAACTTGATTACCACAGTTTACCAAATAATATTTTTAAATAAATAAATTAAAAAGTCTTTTTTTCTAAAATTGTCCTTAAACCAGAAGTGCCTGCACTAGTCTTTGAAGTTGCTCTGCTGGACAGCAGGGTACTTCCCACTGGTAAGCTCCTGAATGGAAATTGCTCGAGAACATTTCTCACTGGATATTAGTCATGTGTGAGGGCTAGTCCCTTTAGGCTTAGCCATTCCTAGGTCCTCTTAGACAGGACTGGAGTCTGGGGTTGGTCACCCCTCCCCCATTAGGATCTGTTGTATTACCTGTTATTGTATTGTCACTTTACATAAAATATTAGGGAAGAAATTTGAAGACAAATTATATGAGAAATCCCTCTTTTGGTGGATTTATTTTTGTGTTTTATTCATTGACATGAACATCCTCATGTATTTTAGCTCCTACACATTTAATTAATATGAACAATACCAGAATTATAATCTTGGATAGGAAGAGAGTCTTAATTTATTAATAGCAATCATTTATTGAGATTTAATACATTTCTTTAAATACCTGTGCATTTTACTCTAGGCTTCTATGTACTGTATATAGATATATTTTCCTGCAGTCAGTATGCCCCAATTTCTCATTTGTACATTGAAGTTAGTAATACAGTAGTATATATCTACTACAATTGTGATTTTATATCCATTAATCCATGTTAAACATTTATTTACCTATTTGGCCATAGTATTCTCTCACTAAAATTTCATTAGTATTTATTTTTAATCCTTGCATGGCCCTATGAGGAAGGAAAGTCTTCTATCCTGGAAGGATGAAAATGAGATTCATAGAGTCCATAACTAGCTCAAAGCTACGATGCGTGTGCTCTGTCTTCCTCTTGCTCCTGTTTCTAGGTGCTTCTCCTAGTCGTAGTTGCTGTTGTCATCATCATCATCATCATCACTGTGAAGTGGGCTGACCATTCTAGAGAGCTTGCTGTGTTCCAGGAACTACAGTAAACTCTTGCCATGCTTCCCCTCATTTAATCTTCACAACAACTCCAGGGAAGAGAGATAAAGCCCTTATCTAGTCATGAGTAAGGCCCAGATTCAGCTGAAGGTTCTTTGACTCCAGGCTTTGCTCCAAGCCTTAGTGATATTCTTTCTTGATATCCATACAAGTGATTTCCTGTACAAACCTCATCTGGATATAAACTCTAATTTCTGTTGATCACGTTAGCACTTTCCAATCTCAGGATAATGTCTGACATTAACAGAAGGCTCTAGGGCCAGCCTGGTGGCGCACTGGAGAGTGTGCTGCTTGGGAGCGCGGCGGCGCTCCCGCCGAGGGTTCGGATCCCATGTGGAGACCGGTTCCCGCTCACTGGCTGAGCGTGGTGCGGACGCAGCACCGAGGGTTGCGATCCCGTTACCGGTCAGTAAAAAAGACAAAGGGAAAAAAAAAAAAAAAAACCAACAGAAGGTTCTAGCATTGTTTTGCAACCTTCAGAAGAGTTGAGGAAGCTCCAGGCAAGGTGATCTTTATTGAACTCTTTTGGAAAGTTTTCAGTATGTATGGCTTATGATCAATGTCTTTTTGGCTCACACATCCTTTCCTATTAAGCGACAACCATTCATAAACATGTCTGACATTGGTTTTGATTCTCCTGGGGATTTCATTGGTTATGGCAGTCCTCATTTTATCACTAATGTAGTTGTGTACTAAATTCATACATATATATATATATATATATATTCATTCATTTTCCTTTTTCTTTTTGGTGGCTGGCCAGTGTTACAGGGATTGAACTCTGGACCTTGGTGTTATCAGTAGCATGCTCTAACCAATTGAGCTAACCTGCCAGACCTTCATTTTATTTATTCTTAATAGTTCAGGTATCAGTAATTTCATTTCATCTTGCATGTCATTGTTATTAATTTAACCAAGGCTATGTTGCTGTTAATTGGCAGAGCCTAGACTAGAGCCAAGATTTTGATTCTAGACTTTAGCATTTTGTCACTATACTACTACTTGTGTTGTTTCTCAAACTTAGAAATGAAATGTACTTCCATCATTGATTTCCTTAGTTAATTTGGTAAATGACTTTTTAGTTTGAAAAATAATACAACAAACACCTGAAATAAGGTCTATACATGAATTATACTTTATAGGATGGAGAGAGGGAGAACTGTTTGGTAATCACGTGCTGTCTGTAGGTTCTGTGGAGACAGTCTAGGCTCAAATCCTGACAGTGCCATTTACTACCTGGGCAACCTTTGAGGACTTTCTTAATGTATATGCACCTAAGGTTTGTCATGTATAAAATGGGATGTTGTAAAGGTTAAATAAGTTGGTATGTATAAAGCACCCAACAGAGCTTGGCAGTGTCTTTTCCTTCAAACAAAAACTAAAAACCCTCATGTGGTTGCTTTCATTACTATGAAAAATGTGATTAACATTTGGAAGTCTACAATGTGCTATTAAGATCTTAGAGTATAATATTATTTACAGTTCTGAGTATAGTAATGATTACATTTTTATATGGACCTTCATTAACTAACCCTTGAAATAAAGCAGTACTATGTTGTTAAATTTCTTCACTTATTGTTTTTTTAGTAGTGTAGGAAATTGTGGGTATGTGTGTTTTTGTGTGTGTGTGTCTGTGTGCGTATGCATGTGTGTGGGTGGTGTTTGTGTGTATTTGTGTATGTTTGTAACACAACCTCTCAGATTCTTGGAGGGATGTTTCTGAGTGCTATAGCTACCATTTTGTAATATCTAAAAGCTCACTGCAAGTTTTCTATACCTAGAATGCTTAGTCTCAGTAGAGATATGAGACTTAAAACAGTTTTTTTTTATGAATAAGCAAAAATTTTCTAACTTTTGTCTCTTCATGGAGATTTTCAGTAAGTATAATAGTGTTTGTTTTCATGGAGGAGCAGAACAGAACCATCCAGGAAAATACTAATTATAAAGTATTAAAGGATTCTTGGATATTTTCAATTTTGAAATGTTGGTAATTGGTTTTTGAACCAAGTTGCTTTATGTTAAATTATAAGAGAACATTTCAAATATGGAAGTGGTGGGTTTTGAGTGATAATTATAACCAAAACTGGGATAGCATTCAAAGGTAGTATGTCAGAGAGATATTCGAGAAACAATGAAAGACATTTATTTTGGCCTAGCAATGATTTGGTAAAAGAAGTTGAGAAATATAATTACTAAATGTTATTTAACACCTGTTGCCTTGGATTGAGTGTTCCTGCAAAACTTGACCCCCACTGTGACCATGTTAAGAGGGTGGGAAATCCTATTATGGTAATTGAAAGGTGGGGCCTTGAAGAGATGACTAGATTCGTAGGACCATGCCCTAATGAATGGATTAATAATGGTGGTCAGGGCATGGTTCTGAGGGCTTTAAAAGGAGAGCACTTGAGAGCCTCTCTCTGCTCTGCTGTTTTCTGCCATGTGAGACCCCTGTATTGCTGTAAAGCCACTAAGGAAGAAGACCCTCACTAGGTGTATTCCCCAGACTTTGAAATTCCCAGCCTTTGAAACTGTAAGCAATTAATTTTGTTTTCTTTATAAATCACCCAGTTGCAGGTATTTATGTTATTAGCAACAAAAACAGACTAATATACCTGTTAACTTCTGAATTTTGAAATAAACTTATATCACATAATTGTAGTTTTTCCCCTTCGTTTACAAGGTAAATTTTAGACAGATTTGAATATCTTTGAACTACAGGTTTTTGGGGGTTGTTTATTTAAGTTAACATGCTCATTAATAGGTAAGAGAAGTGAATGGAAAAAATTTTTTCTTGAGGTAATGTTGATACAATATAATGGGAATCCACTTATAAATATATTTAGAATGATACTATATAATGTATTTTGTATTATATATTATATAAATGAAGTCTTTAATACTTCATTTAGGTTTTATTTTATATTGAATTGTATGATATATTTTACATTTTAGCAACAAATTATAGTATGGCTTTGATTTCTGACACTTTGAAGGTAAAATACGAACCAAGAGAAGATCCATATGATTTCACAAGAAACTGTTTCATCTTGATTTTGTTTATTTATTTATTTTTTTTCCTTTTTGTCTTTTTTTTTTTTACTGACCGGTAAGGGGATCGCAACCCTCGGTGTCGCGCCTGTACCGGGGACCGGCAACGGGATCGCAACCCTCGGTGTTGCGCCCGCACCACACTCAGCCAGTGAGCAGGAACCGGTCTCCACATGGGATCTGAACCCTCGGCGGGAGCGCCGCCGCACTCCCAAGCAGCACACCCTCCAGTGCGCCACCGGGCCGGCCCTTGACTTTGTTTATAATAAGACTTATGCAATCTATCTCAATTTGGTGTTCTTTTAGAAATGATCGTCATTTTTATATTTAATTTTAATCATAATTCTTCTTCTTCTTTTTTTTTTTTTTTGACCGGTAGGGGGATCGCAACCCTTAGCATGGTGTGGTCCACACCACACTCAGCCAGTGAGGACACCAGCCATCCCTATATAGGATCCAAACCTGTGGCCTTGGCGCTACCAGCGCCGCACTCTCCCGAGTGAGCCATGGGGCCAGCCCTTAATCATAATTATTCTTTTTTTTTTTTGGTCTTTTTTCGTGTCTGGCAATGTACCGCAACCCTCAGTGTCGCGCCCGTACCGGACCGGGACCGGCAACGGGATCGCAACCCTTGGTGTCGCGCCTGTACCGGGGACCGGCAACGGGATCGCAACCCTCGGCGTTGCGCCCGCCCCACACTCCGCCA